CAGACAATGCCGCGCGCGCAGACCCTGATGCTAAAGACAAAGTTGCTGCCAACGGACTTGCTGCTGCTTTGTAGAAGACTAAGTCCTTTTCATTGTAAATATAGAGTAGTTTTGCTGCATTTTCTTTAAGTGTGATTTTCCAGCTTTCATAGGTCTAGTCATGTAACTTTGGTTTATTTTTTTTAAGCATTATTAAGGGGGACCAAGCAATCAAAACTTTCAAGCAAGCAAACAATTCTCTGTAATGGTGTCTCTCTCCCCCGACACCGTCTTATTTTCTGTAATAGCTTTCATTCAATGCAATCAAGCTTTCTTTCATTCTCAATTCTCTTTTCTGCTCTCTTTCAATTGCTCATGACATTGGTTTTCCCGTACGGCACTGACAATCTAGTCTAGCGTACGGAGGGGACCTCAGTTGGCGGACAGCAACCGTACTGACATCGGTTGCCTAGCCTTACGTCGCCCTTCCAAGGAACTTCAGGAAGGCGCCGCGTAACATTATACATGGTTTAGGAAAAAGAGTATGAGTTCACGTGAACCCATACCCCTCAAGCTTGATACGCCTCTGTGCGCACACACTACCCTCCCCGAACTCCACTTGTAGGAATATACTGGGTATGTTGTTGTAAAATGAAGTGGTGGGAAAGTATCTTCATTGTCTCCAGCTCAAATGTATAAATATGAAGCATCTGCTTTAATTCCTTCATGTGACTGCAACAATTTCATGTCTTGATTACAACGTAAAGACTTGGTTGTGTACTTGTGTGTACCATAACTGTCTGTGTATGTAGAATTTTGGTTGGAAATTTTAGGAAGATAACACCTTACTTCTCTGAGGACTTATATCATATGACAACAACTAATTCGTACCAAATCATCCTCCCACTTTGAGTCCCTTTAACACATGTAATTCACAAATTGTGATGGCCAAATCTCTAGCATAATTTGGGTTCTGTAACTCAAAACACTTGCAAAAATAAATTGTATTACTACATACAACTTAAAGAATTCCAAGATCTTAAAATGTAGAGATAAAGACTTGTTCGACTCTTTAAAAAAGCACTAGATAACAGAAGAGCACAATATAAAGATGGATCACAAATGCTTAGTTGATATGCATAAATTACGCAAAGCATATTATGCCATTATAGAGGCTATTCTAGTATTAGATCGCTGACCATCGTAGAAGAAATCCCACAAGGTTTATTTTCCCCTTCCTACTTCCTGGTTCATTAGTCTAATCAGTATGTATAAAGGATGCCATAAGATACTTGGGAAAGTTTTACAAGTTAGTGCGCATAAGATCAAGAGCTTCACCCGCCTGCAACTTTGTTGACAACCGGAGCTTTCTATAATCCTGGAAAGTGAATGGAACATAGACACGGGGGTGTTCAGCATCAACCAGCTCCGGTGGTGGTTCCACTGCTATTTCTCTAGGTCCCAAGAGGAATGAAGCAATAGACCACCGTATTTTTGCTTCCTTGCATATCACTCTATGCTTCACATTGTAAAATCTTCCATTGCTCCATACCTTCACATAGCAAAAGGCAAGTATGCATAACAGCATAAGATAGCTGGAACAAGTCAAATCTTGAAAATGAACTAGGTAAAGCAGCAGCATACTTACCGTGCCTATGTCTCCAAGATTCACAAGGAGGGTATTTGGCCAGGGATCAACTGCAACAAATTCACCAGATTTCTTCATTACCTCAAGACCACCGACGTTTTCATCATCCTGTAGAATAGTAAGGAATCCCGAGTCTGTGTGTATCTGAACCCCAGAGGAACCTACAGCTTCTGGAGTGAAGTGGTACTTGTTAATCCTAAACTGACAAGGCCAATCCTCGAAGGAAACATTTTCCAGTCCCAACCCTTCACCCATTTTTCGCATGATGTCCATCATTAGTCCATGAATTGCTGCAGCATACTTCTTGATTGTCTCTCTGTTTACAGTACGAATCAATCTTTTAGATGTGAATTGATAAAGGAATTATAGAAAATCACAACGATGGATAAAAAGTCCGAAAATTTTGGATGTGCGTTCATTCAAATACAAATTTAGTAACACCTTGCTCAAAAGGTTCTTAAAGTTGTGTTCCACTCCTACGATATATGCCCTTCTAATTGTTTCTACAAAATTAAGGTCTAGCAAACTTATGCTCTTGGAATTGTTTAATTTTGGCATAACAATAGATTGGGAGTCTTAGAGCAACGGTAAAGTTGTCTCTGTATGACTTATAGGTCCCAGGTTCAAGCCATGGAAATGCTTTGTGCACTGGTTGCCCTTCAACAATAGAGGGGAGATGAAATCAACAAGAGTGAACTGCACTATCTACACTAACTGTATCCTGTACCAGGAAAGATTAGCTTTCTTTATTAGCTTCACAGATCATCTAAATTCCCCCGACTATTAAACTCAAATAAGAATTACGTACACATAAGTAACTTCCAGATCCCACGAGTAAGTTGCTAATGTAGCTGATTAGTAGCTAATTATTGCTAATCACTTTCTTACTTCAACAATGAGTGCAGAAAGAACTCAACTTTTCATAATCAAGAAACTGAAAAAGTAAAAGCCAAAGAAAGAAAGCAAACCTCTGTTGCGGGGATGCATCTAACTGAGTACAGAAAGCATCAACATCTTCAGGAGAAGACATATCGTAGAGACCCAAAGCCTCATAAAGTGGATTCTTTTCACTAGGGGACATATACCCAGATCCAGCTATCACATCCTTATTACATTTCTTGATTTCAGTTGGAAGATCGAACAATGTCCTCACCACTTCCCTCATCTCTGCCATGAGTGAAACTGGAAGAATATTGTCATGGTTCAAAATCCTGAAGCATCCCCATTCTTCACAAACTTTAATGAACTTTGATGATTGCCTTGGAAAATCCTGTAAATCAATTACTGGCACTGAATTTTCAGTTTCCATTTTGCTAGTTTTATTTGATCCTGTGGACGAGCGGGCGTACCTGTTTTATAATGAACAAGTAAAGACGTGAGGAATTTGGATGCGTTGAATTTTTGAGGAAACACATGTTCGGCCTCTCCGCAGGACTGTCGCCACTTTATTGGACATAATACAAACACTTGAAACATATGAAATGGATAATATACTGAGGGGTCGTTTGGATCTAAGGTGATATAAAATTTAGAATTAAATTTATCTCGATATAAAATCATAGCACAAACTAGGATTAAATTATCCCATTTTCTAGGTGGGATAACTAATACTATAAAATTATGTAATCCTTTTCAGTTTTCACTTCAACCTTTTTGTTTTTTAAATCAAGGTTAAAATAGGAAACAAAATATTATCCAAGCTTATCCACCTTCAAACCAAACACATGCTTTGGATTATATACAGTATATCTTATTCTTAGCTCAATGAACCAAAGATTATAATCTTAGGATAACTTTGTCCGCGAACAAAATAATCTCTCCTAGTTTAAAACAACAATAACCAGCTATATCAAATTATTAATCTGTTTTTCAAGCTGCATTATGTACTACTAATAGTCATTGTTATTCATAATAGCTAAAAAGGTTACAACCCCTCCCTTTATTAGAAAGTAGAAACGATCACAAGTTGCCCTTATCGTCACTCTCATGATTAGAGGTCAATCCCGTGCTGGATTATGTCTTTATTATCACATTATTAAGCTTGTTTTTGTAAAACATAAAATTATCTTTTTGGTGAGACAAAAATCAGGAAATGAAATTACAGAAGTTTCCGCTCATGTACATTATAAAAAAGTTTACTCGGTGTACTAGGTCAATGGATATTTAAAAATCGACTAAACCGATCGAACCGTATCACACCGAACAGATTTTTAGGTTTCTTTTAATAAAACCGTAGGTTTTTATATAAATCTACAACCGTACCAATAATTAGGGTAGGTTTTTTATTTTTATGAAAATAAACCGAAAAGATACCCAACCATACCGAATAAATTTACATATGAAAAATATATTTATATATTAAGTTTAGAAATAATAAAGCACTAAATTTTTTCTTGGGTCTTGGAATTATGAAAATGGTTACAAGCCAAAAAGTAATTAAGATCAAAATCCTAATTCCCAAACATATTATGCTACTCCTACTTAAACTAAATTATTTATAACATATTCACTAGCAAGACACAAAATATTCTAGCGATTATGAGTAACAAACTACAATGTATTGAATATGTTTCCTTTCGTATGATTTAGATTTATCTTTTTAAATATTTAATCTTCTATAGACTTTATTCTTGAGTCCCAACTTGGTTAATATCTTTCTACTTGTGTGATTTATTTTTTCTTTGTCTTTGCGTAGTTTCTTTTACGCAGATGTAGAGTAGATGATGGATCTATACTCTGGTCATCTTTCATGTTTTCATAATTCATCACCATTTAAACAGTAAAACTGCCTAGAGAGTTTTGCTAAGTCTTATAAAAGTATGTATGTTATTGCATTCTACTTTTACTAGTGACTTTTACATAACATTTAAAAAATACCGAAAATTAACTGAACTGTACCGATACCGAAGAGAAACCGATATGATTGGGACGATTTCAATAAGTTTAATTTTGGTTATACATAATAGAATAACCGAAAAATTAGTATGATACAAATTTTATAAAATAACCGGTCGAACCGAACCATTGACACCCCTAACTAGGACTATCTAACGCTGCTTTTATAGGTCATAAAACAATTAAAGCCCCCTTATAAGGCAAAAGCCCTCAATCGAAGTATTTCTTATTCAGCTAACCCCTTTTAGGGGAAATTTTTATCAGCCTTGCAGAGGAAAACGTCCAAGTACATAAAAGTTAAGCAAGTTGGTTAGAATGTTGAGAATTTTATAGGAAAGGGGACCATTCTGCTGAAATTAGGGAAGTTGCTAATTGAGGATGAGTTTTGATTAGGTAAAACAGAAAGCGAAAGGGACAGACTAAGGGTTCGTTTGGTACACAGAGATAAGGTGGGATAAAGGGATTAAATTTATACCATCAATCAAACATGGTATAAATTTATCCCAGACTTAATACTGGATATACCACCTTATCCCATCAAACTTGGGATTATTTTACAAAATAGTCCAGGGATTATAATCCTGGGATAATCCATCAAACTTGGGATTATTTTATAAAATAGTTGAGGGGATTATAATCCTGGGATTATTATCCCGGCTTACCAAACGACCGCTAACAGTCCTATAATACCATCTTTGTTAAAGATTCTGATTTGTGAGAACTTTGACTTAACGATGGAAAAAAGAAGAAAAAAAACCACTGCCTTCCCACACACAAAATCTCTTTTGTGGTTCACAAACAAAAATGTTGACATAAGAATCAATTCTTTTGGGTTGAACAATCTGACCAAAATCAATTAGCAGAGAACAGACTCCAGTTATATATTGAGATCAGTAAGTATCTAGTGAGGACTAGGAGACTCCATTCAGATCCAAACATTTAAAAGCGAAATTAGAAAAGAAATTACTTCAGATTAATACAGTTGGTAAGTGGGGCTGCTTTGCCTATTTATCAACAATAAGGAATTTCACACATCTGAAACAAAGATAACAAGTTTTTGGGGAGAAAGAATGAAGTAACCATTGATTGATTGTTAAGTACAATATACACATATAGCTAGCTCTATACAACATGAGGATTGAGGACTCCCTAAGCTAAATACTTTAATCCTCCCTATATAACAACAAAATTCTGGGAAGGAAAATCTCAACCATTTAGCTGCAGTACAAACCAGCTGAACAAGCAGTTCAAATATTCACCATTCCTCTTCATATTTTGGAGGCAACTAAACAAGATGCTCAACTTGATTCACTCGTTCCTCGCATTCAATTCTAGATGTTTTACATCGAATGACGACCATCAGTCTTGTCTTTAGTTGGCCGTTCATCTTGGATTTCCTCTAAATCCTCATCATCCCCTTTTCTACCAGCTTGTTCCTTCCAATATGCTACTAGCTTCTTTAACCGAGCGACTTCCTTAGATGAAACATTTTTGCTGGGATCATTTACAATGGAACGGACTCTTGATGCATACCTGGAAACCAAATTTGTACTTAAAGTTATACCTTGATTACAAGTCGGCTCCATCGTATGAGCAAATAAGGCTTAAAAGAGAGCATTTCAATTTAAGAAGGAAAACTATCAGAATAACATGATCAAAAAATAAAACAATATGACCTATTTCAACAATAGAGAATATATGCACAAGTAAGAACATACGTCAAGGAGTTGTGAGTCTCATCCAAGTTTGATTCTGCTGGAGAGATGTTTACAAACATAAGAGTTTTAGCATTTCCACCTAACGAGTCGCTCATCAACATAGTTAGCTTGTGATTTCGATAAGGAATGTGTTGATTTCCTGAAGATAATGCACTTATGACATCACCAAGTGCTGACAATGACTTGTTAATGCTTTGAGCTTCTTTTAATTGATTGCCAGCTGAGCCAGACTTCTTAACTCTTTCTGAGCCAGCAAGATCCACAAAACTTAGCTGCACATACATAAAAAAGAATAAAGCAGAAGCTAAAGAAACAAAGGACACTTTTTGTGATTCTATATTGGTAAAGTTCCTAAAGATTATACACTTATTGGCACAGTCACAAGGGACTTGGGTAAAAAACAAGATTTAGATATACTAATGAAATCTACCTTAATATGCTAAGAAATAAAACTTGAGCTACTCCAACAAAGTATTACTTAGGATATTAAAAGTTTCCTCCTCAAACGAAGAATGAAAAGCATAGTGGCCAATATCTAGGGGCGGCTTAAAGAGGGAGGCTGCTAAAGCTTTTGTTTTAGGCCCCCAAAATTTTGGGGCCAAAATAATTTTTTATAGTAAATTTTTTTTTTTTTCTTAAAAAAATATTGAAGTTTATAGAAAACATAAAAAAATACAAAATACAAGATCCAAGGTAATTGATTTCAAATAGAGTTGTGCATACTTTAGTAAATACCGAATTACCATACCGAAATCAAAAATTTTGGTATTTATTATGGTATTTGGTTTAGGTTTTTAAAAATATTGGTATTAGGTATAGTATTCAATATCTTAAAAAGAAATACCGATACCGTACCGAAATATATATTACTCCCTCCGTTCCAATTTATGTGACACTCTTTCCTTTTTAGTCAGACTCAAAAAGAATGACACCTTTCTATATTTAGTAAGACTTCACCTTTAAATTTTCCTTTTTATCCTTAATGAGATGATTTCTAGCCACACAAATTTCTATGGTTTGTTTTAGACTATAAGTTTCAAAAGTCTTCCTTTATTTCTTAAATTTCGTGTCCAGTCAAACACCTTTACATAAATTGGGATGGAGGGAGTATGTTACACAGTACACATATTATTGATTATAACATAAATATAGAAATTTTAAAATTTTACTTTCCTTTGTTCTCTAAGTTCAGCCATTAATTCTAAGCAAATAACAAGACATTTTCAATGATGAAATTTATTCCTTTATGTACCGTTTTCTCTCAATGGATTGATACTTGCTAGTTTTGAACAAAGATCTTGTCAAGAAATATTTTTATTTTTGTATTTTTGAGTATTTTAATGAAGAATATTATAGTTTATGGCTCTACACACTAGTTAGTATTCAAATCGAACAAACCAAAGTTAACAGACCGAATAAACGGAAAGGAGAAAAACCGAGCCATACCGAATTTAATTAGGTACAGTACTGGTATAACATTTTAAGAAATCAAATACCCAAAATACCAAATTGTACCGACTGACGAACACCCCTAATTGCAAACACATGGCTAACATCTTATTAACTTGAACTAGCGCTTACCAATAGAAATAATAATGATATTACTATCATATGTTTGTTGTGAAATTAGACTTTGTCTTATAAGAATATTACAGTATAAATAACAAGTAAAAAAACGACACTATTTTTTTGGCGTGTATATATAAAAGTTCTGTTAAAAAAGTTAAAGCCTCTTATTAAAACTTGGCTTTAGGCCACATTTTGTTGAGTCACCCATGCCAATATTGTATAAGTCGTACAAGTTCACATTGT